AAACTCTGTAGCTAAGGTACGACTATACGAAACCAAGTACCGGTGGTCGCTATCCGGCACAATGCGTTTATTTCAAAACTAGCGGTCCGCCCTCGCTTCGCTTCGGTGTGGAGCTGAAGTGTAGACTACAGTTTTTGTTCTCAGGCTTGTATTATACACAATGACATTCATCTAGCGTGTTATTGTGAGTCAATCATAAAAGATAGACATATGCTGTTTCGGGATATTTTTTAGACAATTTTATGTAGAATATTTCCGTCATACATGATTTCAATGTAACTTTAACCATTAAGGCTGCACACGCGACGGAAGCTTAAAAAATGGAGTAACTTCTCCCGTTTTCCCAACATTTCCCTTCACTACTCTGCTGCTATTAATTGTAGCGTGATGAAAAGTATACTATAACCTGCCCAGGAGTATGAAGAATAATTGTACCAAGTTTCGTTAAAATCCGTGGAGTAGTTTTTATTTCTATAAGGAACATACCGATAGACAGACAGACAAATACTTTACTGATTGCATTTTTGGCATCAGTATCGATCACCAATCACCCCCTGATAGTTATTTTGAAAATATGTTTCATGTACAGAATTGACCTCTCTACATATTTATTATAAGTATAGATGTAAACAAGTCAGTTATTTTTGTTATCTTCCCGAGAACGATATTAAATGGGACAGAACTAGTTTAATAGCCAACGTGTGTACATCTCACTAAATTTACAGTCCAACGTTGGTACCAGCGTTGGGACCAAGGTGTGGAGCACACTAAAGAGAAGCGAGGGCGGGCCACTAGTATTATGTAAATAAATAAACTAAATATGATTTTTACTTTATTATAAAATCTTAATGACAATAATATCATACCGGTATGGATATAATAATAATAACCATTTATTTCAGGCGTAGTACCCATACTAAATACAGAAAATAGAAAAAAATAATGTTAATCAAATTAAATAATTACAATCACAATCATCATCATCATCAGCCTATTAATCTCCCCACTGCTGGGGCACAGGCCTCCCTATGAGAATCGGGAGATTGGGCCATGACCCAACACGCGGGCCCAGTGCGGATTGGTGGGTGCTAACGACTGCAGATGCAGCCGGGACCAATGGCTTAACGTGCCTTCCGAAGCACGGAGGAGCTCGAGATAGTAAATTTTTGGTCACCCATCCAATGACCGACCACTGCCAAAGTTGCTTAACTTCAACGATCCCAGCCGAGCGCGCTAACCACTTGCGCCATCAAGCTCCTCACAATCACAATAATAATAATAAAAAATATAAATTTTAAATAATTACAATTCATTTAAATTACGGCATAAACCAATTATCAATCAAATAAAATCAATTAAAATAAAATCAAAAGCAAATATACTGTTATTGCTAGTACAATTATGTGATAAGTGCCTAATATACAATAAGTATTTACAAAAAAATACTTAACACAAAGAGCGCTGTCGCGTATAAATCCGCCGCTAGAGGCGCTTGTGTAGCGTGAGCTCCCCGAAATGTTAAATTTGATTGTCGGCCGACTGCGCGCGCTTTTTTTTAATTAAAATAATGTTGTGAATAGGGTATTTGACAGTAATAAAAATAAAGTGCCGATTGTTAGCATCTGTGTATAGAATGAATATTGGCAGGGGTTTCTACTATTTTTACAACAAAAATATACACAATTTTACTAAAAATTCATGAAAAAGATAATAGTTTTCTTATCTATTGTCACGTGACCCAAAACGCTTGGGATTGGCGGAGCCTAAAATGACGTCACACGCAAGTAAACTTCCGGTTAAAGTGACATTACATTGTATCGTTTGACGTTTTGATATCAGTCGTGTGATGTCACACACTAGTAAGACGCCATATTGTCCAGAAAAAAGTTTTCGCGGCAACTTGAAAATTGAGTTTTTGATTTGGTTATTTTTAATGAAATACGCAACAGAATGATGACTATCCACTTTTTACGGACTTCATAAATATTAGTCAATAACGTGAGATCGTTTTCTAAAGCTTGTCAAATACCCTATTATGGCAAATATGAGTTACTCGTACGTGTCAGTGAATGCCAGTTATTTAAAAGCGGAGCTAAGAAAAATTATTATGTCCACTTTTTTCCGAACAAAACAGATCAGCGCATCACTAAGGCATGGCCGATATGTTTACGATACGGGTCTTTGGTATTACAATATGATTGAAATGTAAACTTTGATTTCACACGCGTATTAACAAACTTTAGAAACTACACTTCAGGACCTCACTCAATAGAGATGTCTTTTCAAATGAAATGTTCAGTCTTTCCATTTATCTGTCTCTATATTTTACTATCGGTAATTAGGTAGGTACCTATGTACCTGGTTATCATTATGATTTTCATAAAAATAAACAGATAATATGGGATGGGAGTATAAACTATCTTTACATAATTTCAGAAATAATCTTTTTATAAATATTATATAAATACTAGTGATAAGTTTTATTAACTAAGGATTAACTAAGGTACCTTGATCTATTCTTATATTGCTAAATACCTATGGTCGCCTATATTGCATTTATTAAGGTAAACAATCTTGGCACAACTTTTTAACAAAATCACCCATTTAAAAATAAAATAATAACGAAGCCAATAACCTATTAAAATATATCTTAAATATAGACTGAAACCTATTGAATCCAGTTATCAGTTGATTTTTAATGCTGTGTTTTCAATAAAAAGGAGTGCCAACATTGTTTACCAAATAGAACAAGTTAGGATGAACAGACTGTAGTATCTAGTAACATACTTTTTTTTTACAGATTGTCCGTTTACTACGATTAATTGCTAATAAGTTAAAAAAATAATAGTGAAGGACATTCTTTTGGGCATACTGGGACCGATTTCGTCGATGTCCTTTTGGTTTAAATTGGTGCTGCTTGGCAGGTTTACCAATCTTTAAGGTGCCATTCCGAAACAGGTTGCAGTCCGCTAACTACAGCGCCACCACTTTTTTCTATTTTGATTAATATAAATTGACACCAAACGCGGCGATACTGCAGCCTGCTTCAACGCGCGCAACCTGTGACCGAGAGCCGTAGCGAAGCGACCGCGGCGCAGACTGGAGTGACTGAGGCATGCATGGTTCTATGCATTGTGTAGTCGCAGCATGCCGCCGTGCTTGGAAACGCAACCACGACCGCCGCCACGCTGCGGTCGACCGCAGTCACTAGCCGCAGTGTCGCCTGCGGTTGCAGTCTGCAGTCCGTCTCGGAATCGAACCGGAATAGGCGTTATAGTTCAAACACGCTTATACAAAAACCTCTTTAACAACTGCTTCCATCATTTACATATTTCTTCGTACGATCTTAATTGGGACTCCTTCCTTCGAGGCCAGTGTAACTTTCCATGGGTCAAATTTAAACTCCTTGGAACAATCAGCCGGTTCTACTCTGTATTTAGTCAAGAACTTCATTAGGAATATACACACATCAAAAGTGTCTAGGGATCAACATATATTTTTGCAATAACTTTTCTCCTGATTGATATTAATTAAAATTTTCTTTAAGGATTCATCAAATAAAGTGTTTTCGTTTGTCACAGTAACGATAAACCAAGTCACCTTTGCATTAATAAAGAAATTTGCCATTTTCCTAATAAAGGGATTTTTGACATTTGAACCACTAACACAAAAGTTCGAAAAAAAGACTGAAATAACAGTTTTCTCTAAAATTTTATTGGGTAACTTAAACAATTAATAATCCGTATTTCTACCGCGAACACTAACAACACAAGAACATCGGTTTGGCATACTCAAAATGAGTTCATCCAAATCACGCTGTGGAATGGCCGCCCATGTTCGTTGCAACAACAAAAAAAGGTCTTCTTGCGACTGGATACCCTCCATATTCGGCAGAGCTCTTCTCTGTAGCATATCCCATGCATGCTCAATCGGGTTCAAGTCTGGCGACTGAGCAGGCCAGGGCAGGACATTGATGTTAGCTGCGGCGAGAGTCTGTCTTACAACTCTTGCGGTGTGCGGTCGTGCATTATCATGCATTAACTGAAATAAGGGACCGATTTGCACTTGTAGAGGAACGATGACGTCTGATACAATCGTCTCAGCATAAATTTGAGCGTTGAGGTTGCCTCTGATCCAAATCAACTCAGTTCTTCCGCCGATCCAAATACCCGCCCATACCATGATGGTTCCACCACTATAAGGATGGACTTCCTGGCAGGATTTTAATCGCTGTTGGAGTCCAGGGGTTCTCCAGTGTCGTATACGTCTTGTATCCGGTCTCATACCAAAACGAGACTCATCTGAAAAGCACACGAAACGCCATTGTTCTTCTGCCCAATTTCTGTGTTCAAGAGCCCATTGATATCGAATCCTACGATTGTGCATTGCTATAGGTGGTACCCGTAGCGGTCTTCGGGAATGAAGGTTCACTTCATGCAAGCGGTTTCTGACTGTTTGGTCGCTAATTAAGTTCCCTGAAGAGTGATGAAGCCTCACGGCTAACATCATGGCGGTTATTGTTGGAGCTCTTCGAGTTAAGATTTGAATGTATCGGTCTTGTCTCCGTGTGGTGCAGCGATACCGTCCTCCATGGCGCTCAGCCACGGTACCAGTGCTTCGGTATCGTGTCCAAAGTCGACTGATAACACTCTTACTTGTATTCAGAGCTAAAGCCACAGTACGTTGCCGGGAACCAGCTTCTATCATTCCCACGGCTCTGAGCATTTCTTCCCTGCTTAAATGACGTCGCCGCTCCATAATAACGTTGGTTTTAATCAGTAGTAGGGAAACAGTAGCACTAATAATGTCTTCAATGCGTTGTATGTTTTTATAGGGAAAATATTGACAGCTGATTTTCATCTTTTACTCGAATTTGATTCACAGTTCCTGATTCAAATTATGAAATGCACCAAAAAGGATCCATATAAATTTATAAAATCATAAATTTATTACAAAGCCACATCTCAATCTCAAGAAATCCGCATAAAAATGCTTGATCCCTAGACACTTTTGATGTGTGTATTAGACTGGATCTTGGCGAAGCGCATCCCTGAAAATAACAATAATAAATTAATTTAATAACAAATATTTATAACCAGACCCGCCTTTCCCAGTGGGCACTTTGGGCAAGTGCCCAGGGCCCCACGATCGATAGGGGCCCACTTCAGATCAAATACAAAGTCCCTAGTTCCTGTAAGATTACCAAACGGGGGCCATAGGGGCCCCATTATCCTAATATGCCCAGGGCCTCCAATAGGTCAAAGACGGCACTCTTTATAAACACTACGAGTGTTAGAAATATTTTTTATTCCAATTCATTCATTCCAATTATGTGAACTACGCACTAGCTGTCAACCGCAGCGGATGGCCCATGTTCAAATCGTATATTGATTAATTGGAAGCCATGTTGTGTTTGTCGTAACCTGTACCCTTAGTACGAGTTTTACAATTAAATTCTATCATTGAATCATTTGCGTCATCTTAAAATTTAAGTATATTCGGTTAGTTATCACCAAAATGGACATAAAAACATAATTTACAATTACGAAAACTATGATAGTTTTCGTGAGCTCAAACTTGTACTAAGGGTACTGAATAAATCAATCGGCAGAAACGGAATATTTATAGGATCACTCGGTGGTCTGTCTGTTTGTCGCAGTCGATTTGCTTAGTAAACAAAATAGTTTTTTTTTGTGATTTTCTCAGAATCTACTGGACCAGTCAAATTGAAATTTGATGCATAAATGTATGAATCTATACGACCCAAACACGAACGAATAATGTAATCAAATAAATTATATTTAAATATTCATTAAACTTTGCTTGAAGTGTTTGGCGTTTGTAACAAACAACAAGCGTGTGGAGGCACCATTAGTTTCGCTAGCATTTCCGATTGTTACTTTAAAAGGATTGGACGACATCCAATTGAGCATTCGGAAGTTTTAACTACTTTTGCAATAATTTATGGTAAATATTGAAATGATCCTCCAAAAATGATTATCTAAAAATACAACATTCTAGACCAAAATTCATCTTTCATCAGTTCATCAGTTCAGTACTTTGCGGAGATAATGGTGAATTTGCATTGTTACGTTTCTGAAATTTGCTTTTGACTCTGCGTTGGAATAAATTGGCTGTTAAACCTCTCAGCAGAGTTTGGCTCAAAATGTAAATAGATCTGTGCTGATTATCTAAATGCTGTTTAACTGAAGTGACTTGCTGTTGATGCACAAATAAAATTTTAAGTGATGTAAGTACAATTTTTTTTACAGAAACTTTAAATTATTGTAAAATATTGTCAAATCAAAAATAAGTTACGCTTGAAGATATAACAAACAGAACAGACTTGCGCATATATAACATAAGTAAGTATATGATGGATGGATGATAATGACTTACCAATGCAATGTCGTGGTCCAAGACCGAACGGCATGTAAGCACATGGATGCCTGGACTTCACGTTTTCCGGCGAAAACCTTTCGGGGTCGAATTTATAAGGATCAGGATAGTATTTCTCATCGAAATGGATTCCCCTGGTGGGTACAACCACATAATCGTCCCTCTTCAAAGTGATATTTGTGCCTGGTATTGTCCAAGATGGTGCAGACACTTTCCGCTGCAGATCAGCAATGGAATACATTCGAAGCGTTTCATCGATCGCTTGCGCCGTATAAGTCAACTTTTTGAAAGTATCCAAGTTAATTTCTCCGTTACTTTCGTCGAGAACATCTTTTATCTCAGCGACTACTTTGTCCTGGATATCCTGGTGCTTTGCTAGTTCGTGAAGTAAGAAAGAGACGGTGGTAGCAGACGTCTCGAATCCACCTGCATAGAATATCATGGCTTGCGCTGCTATCAACGTGTCTGTGATTTGGAGCACTTTGGCTTCATCATTTTCATTCTTTTGGGCTCCTTTCAACTCACTCATGTTCTTCATCTCCAAAAGTAAGTCCATGAAGTCTTTCCTGTTGGACGGTACACCGTTGCGTTGTTTTTTGATAACATTCACCAAGCTTACGAAGTAATCGTGGATCACTTTAGGCACAACGTTGACACCCATTTTTTTTAGCAACCCAGGGCATATGAAGAACAGCTCTAACGCGTAGTACTGCGTAAATATCATTTTGTCGATCTGCTCGAGTTTCTTGTCGGGGTTATTCAGGTCCATATCGACGCCGAAAGCGCAAGCGCTTATTGAAGCGACTGTGTACTTTTTAATGATACTTATGATATCGCACTCATAGGCGGTTGAGGTTTTCGGCTCCAAATACTCCAGCATTTTATCGCCGCACCTCTCCATTAGATACAACATGTTCTTCAGTTTGCCTGAAGTGAATATGGGTGAGAGACGGCTGCGCAGCAACCTCCACGTGTCATCGCTGCTTCCCGCCAAATTGTCACCGAGTTTATCGCCAAACTCCGCACCGCGGTTCACAAAGCTGTCGAAATTACGAATAAACACTTGCTGGATGAGGTCCAAGTCTCTCAGGAGAAGCATCGGTGTATTAAAACGGTATAAACCGACTACTTTCTCTTTAGGATAAGCTCTGTAAATTTGTTCTTGTAACTCGGGATTTGTAGTCCGCCTGAATATAAGCTCTTTGTAGTTGCCGAACAACAAGTCAGGCTCTGGTCCGACGACATTAAACCTTTTCCAGAACTGTTTGCTCCTTTTTAAATAATAATAAAATATAACACATAACACGGATAGAGTGAGAAAAATCGGCGCATATGCCATTATGCTGTTGACAGTAAGAAGCTTCAAACTAAACTAACTGTACACGAGGAATGGTCAGCATTATATTCGCATTTTTTATCATCACACGACGTCATTGAGACCAATCTTATCTAATTTGGTAAAGTACGGACTGGACGGACTGGCGATTTGGTCATTATATTTTTTTTGGCCTCCCAAATTATAGGTGGTAATAAAAACAGACTCATGAAGTAATGTTATAACAAGTTCGGTGGGTAAAGTTTACATATCGTACGAAAAGCAAATATCAACAGCTGTGCGAAATCTTTTCATTTGATTATGAAAATTAGCTCTAAAGATATACAATACTCACAATAAAGTTATTTAACATAACACATATTTAAGCGGTAATGAATAACAGATTCTTCTCACGTATCTGTTTATGCCAGTGTATATGTTATGGGCCAAGTGATTAATGCGGGCAGTATTCATAATGCCAGGGCAGTATTAATAATAGGCCAGCCATATAGGCCAAGTGATTAATTACAATCTAATTTAATTAAACTCACCTATTTATCCCATTGCCCGGCCATTATTAATAATGCCCGATGACTCGTGGTCCATGTAATAAGTCAGTGTTTGAGATAGCTTGAATTTATCGCTTGGACCGGGAAGTATGAATAAATTCAAAACGTGGGTACTATTGTCAAAATGACAGATGTCTCGCCATTTTGTGTTTGTTTTGAGATCTTGGTAAATAAAAAATAGTATGGGCTCAACAATTAGAAAAAAGGGTAAATGTTGCTTTACAACAGTCTCCCCGCCTGCTGTGACAAAGCCGCAAGCATCGTGCGAACCGTAGCGCCTGAGGAAGGTGTGATGTGAAGGAGCCAATCCAAGTTTATCTTTATAAACTCTATCACACTGTCACTTTCATGTTCATATCACCTTTATGCTGATGATCTCCAGATATACACTCAGGCCCCTTTATCTGACCTCTCTAGCGCAATTTCTGATATCAACACAAATTTGTCGTTTATAAGTAGTTGGAGTGAGTCATTTGGTCTTACCTTAAATCCGGAAAAAACTCAATCCATCATAATTGGTAGTCCTTATTTTATTTCCAGGATCGACTTTAATCATATGCCTTCCATTATTTTGAACGGTTCTATTATTCCCTACTCAGAAACCGTCAAAAACTTGGGTGTTGTATTTGACCAGAGTTTCACATGGAAACCACAGGTGGAGATGGTCAGAAACAAGGTGTTTGCTGCTTATGGTTCCCTTAGTCGGTTGCGGAACTTTTTGCCGATCAGCACCAAAATCAACTTGGCAAATTCTCTGTTGTTGTCCATCATCGACTACGCTGACGTTTGCTACACCGATCTGTCGGAGGAACTCCTCAATAAATTAGAGCGACTGCAGAATGTTTGTATCAGGTTTATTTATAATCTCCGTAAATTCGACCACGTGTCTCACTTCCGTAATAAACTTAATTGGCTCCCTATTCGCCGGCGCAGAGATCTACACACTCTAACGGTTCTCTATTCTATACTTTTCCTGCCATCTTCCCCACCTTATCTTAAGCAGTGTTTCTCATTTCTATCCTCTTCTTCGCAGCTCTCACTGAGATCCTCATCTAACCTACTTCTTGAGATTCCCTGTCACTCTTCTGACTTCTTTTCTTACACTTTTTCTGTGCACGCTGCTCGACTTTGGAATTCACTTCCTGAGGGTATCAGAAAGGCTCGTACGCTTAATTCCTTTAGCGATCAAGTTAAAGTTATTTCCTTTCTTTATCTTAAACTCATTTAATATCCTATTTCTTTGCTTCTCTTATATTTATGTAAGTATAGCTCCTGTATCTACTTTCGCACCCTTCTATAGTTCTCTATTATTATTCCATTTCTACCATAGGTTGCCTGGAAGAGATTGCTGTTTAGCAATAAGGCCGCCTATTGTACTCTTTCTTCTGTTTTATTTGTTTTTTATCTTGTGTCCTTTGTTGTGTGCAATAAAGAATATTTATTATTATTATTATTATTAATGCCCGGGCAATGTGATAAATTATTTGGTTATAATCACATTGCCCGCTCTTATTGAGCATTATTCATATTGCTCGGGCATTATGAATAATGCCTGATTAATCACTTAGCCCATAACATATACATGAAATGAAAAGTCATTTATTCATTCTAGGCTGTTACAAGCACTTGTGAAGGTCATGATATATATATTTATATATTATGGAATATATTGATGTGTAAATGTGTATGATCTTTTAATTATTTACTTACACCTCGTTTATACCAAAGTATAATACATGTGTTTAACAAGTTTTATACAATGTCTTTATATCTCCTATATATCGACCGAAATTCGTTAGGTAGATAATTAATCTAAATGTACAATGTCTGTCTGTGAACAGTCTGGTGTTGCTACAAGCTGCAAACAAGTTTCCATGGGCAGCAGTGACGACTTTCCATCAGGTGGACCGTCAGCTCGTTTGCTTTCATAAATATAAAAATCCATTTTTAACTGACTTCAAAAAAGGAGGAGGTTCTGTGTTCGACTGTATGTATATATATAGTATGTATGTTGACCGATTTCTCCGTCAATTGTGGACCGATTTCCAAAATTCTTTCTTTTAATTGGGGCCCTGGGCTGAAGCCCAATAAGCCATATGAAAGATCCGGCCCTGCTTCTTACACTCCAGTATAAACACAGCCTTAGTCGGTAGGCACGAGTAGTAGATAAAAAGACATTATAATTATAACAAGTTTAGGAGATAAGGATATTAAATAGTTTGTTACTTAGATAATTTTTTAACATACTGAATCTGCACCGAAAACAAAGACTTAGAAAAAAAATCAAATTCTGTTATAAGTACATATATCTAATATATAAAATTCTCGTGTCGCGGTGTTTGTGGTTAAACTCCTCCGAAACGGCTTTCCTGATTCTCATGAAATTTTGTGTGCATGTTGGCTAGGTCTGAGAATCGGACATCTATTTTTCATCCCCCTAAATGTTAAGGGTAATCCACCCCTAAATTTTTTTTTCAATTTTAGATATTTTTTTATGATACATCATACAAAAATACATACAACCCTAAATTTTCACCCTTCTACCACCAACCCCTATTTTTTTATGGCGGTACGAAGTTCGCTGGGACAGCTAGTCTTAAATATAAAATTCTCGTGTCGCGGTGTTTGTGGTTAAACTCCTCCGAAACGGCTTTCCCGATTCTCATGAAATTTTGTGTGCATATTGGGTAGGTCTGAGAATCGGACATAATCTATTTTTCATCCCCCTAAATATTAAGGGTAATCCACCACATTTTTTTTTTTAAATTAAAATAAGATAATATTAATTTTTAATTTTTTTATGATACATCATACACAAATACATAAAACCCTAAATTTTCACACTTATACCACCAACCCCTATTTTTCTATGGCGGTACGAAGTTCGCTGGGACAGCTAGTATGTATACATATACTAGCTAAACCAACGAACTTCGTACCGCCATAAAATAGGGGCAGGTGGTAGAAGAGAAAATTTAGGGTTGTATGTATTGTTTAATACCACTTTTAAAAAAAAATATTGTCAAAAACAAAATTAGGGGTGTGTAACGTAGTGTTCTATCAATTTCCTGGGATAACATTCCTCCTAACCCATATGAGAACACTACGTTACAATACCCAATAGTTTGAAATTTGGCGCGAAGGCGCATTGTAGGTTTCAGAACACTACGTTACAGGTCGACAACCATTATCACTTAAGGATATGAAAAATAGATAGTAGCCGATTCTCAGATCTATCCACGGAATATGCATATACAATTGAATAAAAATCGGTCAGGCCGTTTCGGAGGAGTATGGTAACTAACACTGTGATACGAGAATTTTATATATAAGACTAGCTGTCCCAGCGAACTTCGTACCGCCATAAAAAATAGGGGTTGGTGGTATAAGTGTGAAAATTTAGGGTTGTATGTATTTTTGTACGATGTATCATAAAAAAAATAAAAAAAAAAATATCTAAAATTGAAAAAAAAATTTAGTTGTAGATTACCCTTAACATTTAGGGGGATGAAAAATAGATGTCCGATTCTCAGACCTACCCAATATGCACACAAAATTTCATGAGAATCGGGAAAGCCGTTTCGGAGGAGTTCAACCACAAACACCGGGACACGAGAATTTATATGTATAAGATATATATATACTAGCTGTGCCCCGCGGTGTTACCCGCGGTTTATTAGGGATATTTTCCCGCAGTAAAACGTAGCCTATGTGTTAATCCAGGGTGTCAGTTAACTCCTTAATTGAAATCCAAATTATATTAAAATCGCTCCAGCCGTTTAGACGTGAAGAAGTAACAAAAATACGCACTCACGCACACACAGACTTTCGCTTTTATTATATTAGAGTGATGTAATTGTTACGAGACTGGTTTTAGAAGGCAGACATTTATGTTTTATACGTGCGGAAACATTGTTGTGTTTGTGTAACGCGAAAATATTCATCAATCATCATCAGCCTATTAATGTCCGCACTGCTGGGGCACAGGCCTTCCCTATGGATGGAATAGGGAGATTGGGCCATGACCCACCACGCGGGCCCAGTGCGGATTGGCGGGTGCTAACGACTGCAGATATAGCCGGGACCAACGGCTTAACGTGCCTTCCGAAGCACGGAGGAACTCGAGATAGTAAATTTTTGGTCACCCATCCAATGACCGACCACTGCGAAAGTTGCTTAACTTCAACTATCGCAGCCGAACGCGCTAACCACTTGCGCCATCGAGCTCCGAAAATATCAGTCCGTTTCAAACTTTGTTTTAAATGACTTCAAAAACGAGGATGTTATCAATTCGAGTTCTTTACACGTGGATAGATCTGAGCTACTACTATTTCCTGCTTGGGTCGCCAATGGCACCGACGACACTCTATTTAACTTTAAATGTACTACTTTAGATGTAGTTAAGTTAAAAATAAGTATTAGGTATTTTTTACTTTGTAGTGGTTTCGTCTTTAT